TGGGCAGAAATCACATTGCGTCAACATCCGTTGGGACCATCGCAATGCTTTGTTTTAATTAAACAGTCGGATTCCCCTTGTCCGYACCAGTTCTGAGTCGGCAGTTTGATGCTTAGGGAGAGTCCCACGGCCCCACCCGAAAGGTGGGGACATAAGACATTCTACGCCCGTCGGCACACTGGCACGCGGGCTCCACCCTCGCCGCGAGAGCAGCTCGGGCAGACCACCGGCAGCCAAYGACATCGAGGCGCAGACCCCTAGGCCCAGCCCTCAGAGCCAATCCTTTTCCCAAGGTTACGGATCCATATTGCTGACTTCCTTTACCTACATTCTTCCTTTGACCACAGGCTGCTCACCTAGGAGACCTGATGTGGTTATGAGTACGACCGGGCGTGAGAGGTACCCGCAGCTCCAGATTTTCAAGGGCTGTCGTAGGCGCACTGGACACTACAGGACGTGCGGTGCTTTGCCAGGCGCTGCACCCTATCTTCGGTTGATCCGATTCCAGGGTGGGCGAGCCGTCAAGAAGGAAAGAGAACCCTCCCCACGGCCCCCGCCGGCATCTCCGGAGCTGCTTACGTTACCRTCCACCTCCACAACCCGGTTCGGGAATATGAACCCGACCCCCTTTCGATGTGCAGCGCGCAGTGTGCCCTTGATACAAGGTTTCCACATCTCTTAGGGACCACTGATCCATGTCCAAGCGCTGTTCACATGGAACCCTTCTCCACTTCGGTCTTCAAAGTTCTCATTTGAATATTTGCTACTACCACCAAGATCTGCACCGGGACTCGCTTCACCTAGGCTCACGCTCCAGGCTTCGCAATAGGCCCCTCGCCCTCCTACTCGTCGCGGCGTCAGAATCGCTGCGACGACCGAGCATAGGTCGCGCGCTTCAGCGCCATCCATTTTCGGGGCTGATTGATTCGRCAGGTGAGTTGTTACACACTCCTTAGCGGATTTCGACTTCCATGACCACCGTCCTGTCTGTATCAATCAACACCCTTTGTGGTGTCTGGGTTAGCGCGCAGTTTGGCACCGTAGCTCGACTTTCGGTTCATCCCGCATCGCCAGTTCTGCTTACCAAAAATGGCCCACTTGGAGCTTTCGTTGATCCTCGGGGTTCGCGTAAGCAACCCTGAAATCTTACCTATTTAAAGTTTGAGAATAGGTCGAGGGTGTTTCACCCCCGAGGCCTCTAATCATTTGCTTTATCCGATAAAACTGTTCAACAGCTCCAGCTATCCTGAGGAAAACTTCGTAGGGAACCAGCTACTAGACTGTTCGATTAGTCTTTCGCCCCTATACCCAAGTCCGACGAACGATTTGCACGTCAGTATCGCTGCGAGCCTCCACCAGAGTTTCCTCTGGCCTCGCCCTGCTCAGGCATAGTTCACCATCTTTCGGGTCCCAACGGGCATGCTCACACTCAAACCTCTCACAGCAGATCGTGGTTGGTGGACGATACACCCGCAGAGGGTTCCCACCACTCAGGTTTCTTCCACCTCGTGGGCAATTTCAAGCACTCTTTAACTCTCTTTTCAAAGTTCTTTTCATCCTTCCCTCGCAGTACTTCTTCGCTATCGGTCCCTCGCACATATTTAGCCTTGGATGGGACTTACCACCCAATTGGGGCTGCATTCCCAAGCAACCCRACTCTTGGACAACACCTCGTTGCGCAGCAGGGTCCGGCGGTCGACSGGGCTGTCACCCTCTTCGGCGTCCCATTCCAGGGAACCTGCACACGGCCGCTTGCAAAGGTTGCCTCTCAAGACTACAATTCAGGGAGCAACAGAGCCCCCGGATTTTCAGTCTTGGCTATTCCCGGTTCGCTCGCCGCTACCAAGGGAATCCTCGTTGGTTTCTCTTCCTCCGCTTAGTTATATGCTTAAATTGGGCGGGTGCTGCCGCCCGACCTGAGATCAAAAGGCAAGGCCCGACGTACCTCCACAGCTCGAGGCCGACACCCCCAACCGCAAGCCCACCTCAAGCCGATGAGAGCGAATGGAAGGCGGCGACCACACAAACCGGAGGAAGGCAGGACGAAATGGGGAGGGGCCGAGGACCCCGCAACACACCCCGCCCCTAGCCTCTACCATGACCCTCGATCCCCAAACAAGCCACAAGCTCCGCACGAAGCCGAGGTTGAGGCCGGGATGGAAAGGAGGTCTGGACAAAGCTGAGACGGGAAGGAGCCGGGGTACGCATGCCGAGGACAACCGCCACCACCCGACATCCCGCCCCTGACCCTCCCGCAGGGCTGTCCGTGCCCGGACCAACCGCCATCCCGACCAGAAGTCGAGAGTGGGGCTGGGCCGAGGTAACAACCTGCGAAGGCGAGACGGGATGAAGGGGGAGCAATGCCACAAGGCCTCGGACCCTGCCCACTCCCCCCACCCTCGACCTACACCATGCCCCCCTCTGCGCCGGGCCAGCCGCCAGCTGGGCACTAAGCCCAAGATGGTGCCAAAACGGAAGAGAAAAGCGGATGCAGGGAGGATGGGGGCAAAGGGCGGTGGAAGGGCGAGCAAGCCAGCGTCCTTCACCCCGAACATCGGCCGTTCACGTGTCAATGATCTTTCCGCAGGTTCACCTACGGAAACCTTGTTACGACTTCTCCTTCCTCTAAATGATAAGGTTCAATGAACTTCTCACAGCAACCCCAGCGGCAAACCGCCGAGATCACCGCAATCCAGATACTTCGCCGGACCATTCAATCCGTAGGAGCGACGGGCGGTGTGTACAAAGGGCACGGACCTAATCAGCGCGAGCTGATGACTCGCGCTTACTAGGCATTCCTCGTTCAAGATCGATAATTACAACAATCTATCCCCGTCACGATGAACCTTAAGAAGGTTACCCGGGCCTTTCGACCCAGGCAAGAGACTCGTTGGATTCATCAGTGTAGCGCGAGTGCGGCCCAGAACGTCTAAGGGCATCACAGACCTGTTATTGCCTCAAACTTCCGTTGGCTAGTCGTCCAACAGTCCCTCTAAGAAGCTGGCCACGAGGAAAGGTCCCCGCGTAGCTATTTAGCAGGCCGAGGTCTCGTTTGTTAATGGAATTATCCAGACAAATCACTCCACCAACTAAGAACGACCATGCACCAAGAATCAAGAAAGAGCTCTCAATCTGTCAATCCTTGCTATGTCTGGACCTGGTGAGTTTCCCCATGTTGAGTCAAATTAAGTCACAGGCTCCACGCCTGGTGGTGCCCTTCCGTCAATTCCTTTAAGTTTCAGCCTTGCGACCATACTCCCCCCGGAACCCGTAAACTTTGATTTCTCACAAGGTTATGGCAGAGTCATCCAATAGACATCCGCCAATCCCTAGTCGGCATCGTTTATGGTTGAGACTAGGAGGGTATCTGATCGTCTTCGATCCCCCAACTTTCGTTCTTGATTAATGAGAACKTCCTTGGCAAATGCTTTCGCAAAAGTTCGTCATCCATAAATCGAAGAATTTCACCTCTGACAATGGAATACGAATGCCCCCAACCGTCTCTATTAATCATTACTCCAATCCCGAAGACCAACGAAATAGGACCAGAGTYCTATCGCGTTATTCCATGCTAATATGTTCAGAGCACATGCCTGCTTTGAACACTCTAATTTTTTCAAAGTAACAGCGCCGGCTCTGGATCCCAKCCAATAAAGGCAAGGAACGCATACCCGGCAAGAAAGGCGAAAGGACCGGTACACGCCCGCAAGAGCGGACCAACCCCTCCCACCCAAAATCCAACTACGAGCTTTTTAACTGCAACAACTTAAATATACGCTATTGGAGCTGGAATTACCGCGACTGCTTACACCAGACTTGCTCTCCAATGGATCCTCGTTCAAGGAGTTTACGATTGTTCTCATTCCAATTACCGGACTCGGAAGAGCCCAATATTGTTATTTAATGTCACTACCTCCCTATGTCAGGATTGGGTAATTTACGCGCCTGCTGCCTTCCTTGGATGTGGTAGCCATCTCTCAGGCTCCCTCTCYGGAATCGAACCCTAATTCTCCGTCACCCGTTACCACCATGGTAGGCCTCTATCCTACCATCGAAAGATGATAGGGCAGAAATTTGAATGGAACATCGCCGGCTCAAAGGCCATGCGATTCRACAAGTCACCATGATTCGCCGCAACAACGGGCGAGCCCGGATCGGCCTTTTATCCAATAAATACATCCCTTCCACAAGTCGGGATATGCTGCACATATTAGCTCTAGAATTACCACGGTTATCCGAGTGGTAAGGAAAAAAAAAAAAAAGAGGCAAGCAGCTCATCGGCCCCTATACAAGGGCGACGGCTCTCTTCAGATGCGGATGACCGTCGTTCAAACATTTGAGGAGGGGTGGGGAGCCAGAAGGGGGGGGAAACCTTTGGAACAAAGGGTCGAATCTCAACAGATCGTGACGACAAGGCCACTCTGCTGCTTACAACACCCCATTCCCTGTCTAAGTTGTCTGCAAAGGGTTTGACTCCCCGAGCGAAAGAAATTGCAATGAAGAGACCCCCAGGGCGTCGGTGCTCYGCCGCAGGAGGGACAACTCCGAACTTATGCTTTCAGGGCCAGACGGGCTGGCCCTATCGACAGCCTTGTGTCATCCGAGGAGGCATACGCCGTCGCTGCAAGCACAGATTCTGACTTAAAGGCGTTCAGTCATAATCCCACGCAYGGTAGCTTTGCACCGCTGGCTTTTCAGCCAAGCACAATTGCCAATTGTGCGAACCAACGGTTCCTCTCGTACTGGGTTGGATTACCATTGCGACGGCGGTGCATCAATAGGGTAAAACTAACCTGTCTCACGACGGTCTAAGCCCAGCTCACGTTCCCTGTTGGTGGGTGAACAATCCAACACTTGGTGAATTCTGCTAAACAATGATAGTAAGAGCTGACATCGAAGGATAAAAAAGCAACGTCGCTATGGGATCCCCAGCTTCAAGTCCTGAAACGCTAAAGGATCGATAGGCCATGCTCTC